CTTTTCTTGGCATTGGGTAATGTGTTCAGATGTATGCACTGATTACGTCCCAGCAACAGGCAGGGCTTTCTCTGTGCAGCTCTTTCTCTCTTCTCTGGACCTCTAATCTGTAATTCCAGTCATTATTGCCATGCCTGTGGGGCTCCACCTGACTGCCTTCCTGAGCCATAGTCATTTTCCCCATGGACCACTGTTCCTGGTTGTCTAATGTCTAGTGTCTCAAAAGCTGCTGCATATATAACTGATTTTTTTAGTAGCTTTGAGTGGGAGGGTAAATCCAACCTGATTGCTTCAGCTTAATCTTTCCGATTTGCATCTGCTCCTTGAAACCCTTTTCTGTCCTCCTCTTTCAGATTAGAGCCTGAACTCCCTCACGAAGCCTAAAAGTATCCTTGTGCCTGCATGCCTTCCTGCCTCCTACAGCCTTTCTTAGTTCTTCCACATGAACATTTCCTGCTTTCCAAATGCCCCAGGTCTTAGCCCCCTTCTAGGCTCTTTACATGCCTTCTCTGTGTATAGACACCCCTCTCCACTACCCTTGCATGCTGAGTCCCATCAGTCCTTCAGATGTAACATTTGTCTCTGCAGAGAACCTGCTCCATCCATGCTGACTGCTCCTCCCACAGCCCGGTTCCACAACGAACTGAATGAAGTTACCCTGAAAATGTGCTGTTTTCTCTTTCACCGCCATGTGTTTGCATGGTCCTCCTGTTGAACACTCTTCCCACCTGCTCTGCCTCCATGGCACCTACCTGCCTTTGAGAGGCCCACAGATCATGGCCCCTTGAAAACTTTACCTGCACCTTTCCCATCCCCTTCTTTCCTCTGGATTTGGATAAATTAATTGTCTCTCTTCATGTTTTGTTAACATGTCACCCACACCTCCACCACCACACTTTCAAACTACTGCAAGATCTTGCTTTCTGGTGCCTCCTCTAATTGGGCGGAATAGGGTCCACTTGTCCCTCTCTGTGCCTCCAGTCCTTGCAGTGCCCTCTGTCTATACTTAGTTCTTTCCTAGGTGCTGATTTTTGTTTGCTTTCTGTGGTTTGTTTTTGATGATCAGATGTCTGTATGGGGCTCTTTCCCCAGCAAAGTGCTAACATGAGCACATAAAGAACACGGGCATGGTGCAGGGGGTGCCCTGCTTTTGCACAAGGGGGGTACATTAAGTAGAACAAATTATATCAAATGCTATGGCCAATTGTAACTAAGCCTTTGTCAAACTGCCCACCTTGGGCTCCAGATGAGAACATTGTAGCCTTCCAACTCAGGGCTAGCTAGCAGCTGCTGAAATGGGCAATTACTGCAGTGAACAACCCATTACTTGTACTGTCAACAGTGTTTTTCTCTCTAAATGCAGCATGAAGCAGTGAATGCTGTGGGAACCTAGGGGCATTTAATGTATTAATATGCCTTGGTAGGAGCCATTCTTTAATCTGGCCATGACAACAGCACAAAGGCATGGGGACAAGCTTTAGGTTAGAGCACTGGGGGAGCCACTTAGCCATCCCATGCCTCACTCTCCTCACGTGTAAAATTAAACCAATAGAAGAGAATGCTTGTCACGCCATCGTAGTTGCTATGGTGATGGACCGTGCACAGTGTTGTGCTGCCCAGAGCCAAACCAATCTCTTTTGATATTGCTTGTCACTGCATGCAGAGTAACGACTGGCAGGGCTTCATTTTCTTTTAGGATTGGGAAAGCTTCTAGTGAAGCTTGGAGTGGAAAGGCCATTATGCTGGCTCCTTGGTGCAGATAACCCAAGACTGCTGTGCCAATAGTGCTCAGCTTAGAGGTACTTGTATGGCATGCTGGCTGGGCTGAATGGATGATGGGACATTTGTACTACAAAACAATGGTAGTACCCTCTAGGTCAGCATTTTCAAGTTCAACATCTTGGAGTGCTGCTGACCAGTCTGGAAACTCAGCTGGAAATGATTAGCCAGACACACAGTTGTATCTCTTAACATGAGGGCACCAAGGGACAGCAGCATAAGAGCTTACACACCAGTGTAAATGTGGCTGGTTGGAGGGTCAGAGATGGGGATAAGGGAGGGGTCTGAGAGGAGAGATGGCTGCAGAGCATTTGCCGTGTAGATAGCTATGCTTCCGGTTGCCACAGGTTGCAAAACAAAGGCTGGGATTTTGGCTAATATAAGCAAACATATTCATGGAAGACCTGTGGGTCCTTATAGGATTCTCCAGCTTACTAGAGTTGGGCTTAGGGGCTGTCTCGCAGGGTGGTGCCTCATGGAAGACCTGTGGGTCCTTATAGGATTCTCCAGCTTACTAGAGTTGGGCTTAGGGGCTGTCTTGCAGGGTGGTGCCTAGAAAACACTGGTTCCAGCTCTGCTTCTTTTAGACATGGATACTACCAAAAATCCACAAGAACTTCACTCTGAACTCACTGATGCCATTCGATACCAGGTGTCTGAGTCTACCCCATGCTCACAGATGGTGTTAGACACTGGGCACAGGAAACCATCCTATACCCAATGATGAAACCAGGCATCACTGATGCTACATCAGAATTCTGTCCTGTTGTCCCTGAAAAGCTGAACATTTCAATCATTTTGTTCACTCCTAAGGGAATTCTACATGGCACCCCATGTTTTTCCTTCCCAGGGGAAGCATATAGAAGAATGCATATTCCCAGGCCTGTGTCACGTGCCTCTTCCCCACTAACAGCCTGGGGCCTGTGAAGCTGCTTCTGCCATGTATGGACTATGTTTGAGAGACAAAGCAATAGGGAGAAACAGCAGGATTGGAGAGGGACAGAGATATTCTTAATACAGGATATCACTCTCACAGTGGACTATGGCTCCAATGCTAGCATACCCAGCGTTCACCATACCCACTGCGTCTCTCAGGGCCACAGTGTCTGAACCTGGTTTACCGTCTCTCCAGAAGCCCCTCCTCTGGACTGAGCACAGTACTGTCATACACCCAATGTAACCGGTTTCAGAATCGGGACTCTGGACGTGGTTCCTCCGCATCCCCGAGTCCATCCCTGGAGTTCCTATCTTACATAGAACTACTGTGCCTCTTGAGCTGCCCGCTGCCCTCTGCCCAGACCCTCAAGGCTGTTTACCTTCTCCATCTGGCTCCTGTTTTAGGCACAGGCTGTACAGCATGTCTCTCCTTTGTGTCACTGTGGTCTCTGGTAAGATGTTATACCCTTGCTTTAAAGTCCCTCAGAGAACAGAGGTACAGAATGCCTCTGCACAGTCCTCAAACCCTGCACTTCTTAGAGCCTTCAGCAGTGATTTCTGTTGCCCTTTCCCCTCATGTGTGTTAGACAGTCCTGTCCTCTACAGAATAGCTAGGAGGTGGGGGTACTAGACCAGCATTCACACATGGTCATCGTGGGCACAAACACACCTTTCTTCCCAGTCTACAGAAGGAAAAGCTGAGGCTCTAGTGATGTTGGCAGCCTCAGCCTTTGAGTGCAGATCTATCTGCTGCTCAAGCACCTGCCTCCAACCAGGCTGTGTGTACTTCACCTTACAGAACTGCAGCTGTCTTCTCTCAGAAGGAACTATCCCAACCATGCACTTTAGTGGGCACATTGTGGGTCAGCAATAGTAACTACAACTACTACGGTAGGTCGTGTGAATGTGGCTCTTTACACATCTCCCTAGCACCTCATTCCACTATTCTTGCCCTGCTTGTCTTTTGTGTTCCAGTGTTTGAGTTACCTGGATGTTCATTCTGGCATTAGCTCATTCCCGGGAGGTTTCCCTGTTTCCAGTCTTTCCCATATGTCCCAGCTTGACTTACCTCCACCCGTACCCTCAGCCCTCCCGCCAAGAGGGTATCAATCCCTAAGAGATGACAGTTTGTGAATCTGTCGGTTAGTGAGTGAGAACCCAAACACAGGGCTGGCATGCTGTCTACTGAGCAGGCATGGTGACCGCAGTGCCTACACATCCACGTCAAATGCAGACTACAAGGGTTCACCAACCCTTCCTGCCTCATGCAGTCCTCCACTACGAGTTACGAACAGAGATTACTTTTCCAAATTTCAGGTTTGTTGGGAGGGTGAGTGAGTTTTGACATAGCCTCTCCTCCAACATGCACACAGTTTCATTGATTGTGAGTGGAGAAAATATAAGCACAGAGTGGTATACTCTTCCATGCAGGAAGCTGCTTTCTGGAGCCCCTCTAATGGGCCATAGTCTGGCCAGCCTACATAAAAGTACTGTATCTTAAAAGAATTCATTGTCTTTGCTTTTTTTCTCATCTGTACTGTAAGGAAAAGACATAGTTTCTTGGCTAGCAGGGAAAGAAGGGAAGAGAAATGTTGGGTTATAGTCTCCTGCTTTGAGTGATTTTTCACTAGGGAATGGCAATGTCACCGGCTCTGCAGGGCCATGTCGGTGTGGATTCCCAAGAGAATCTTGCCATTCAGGCAGTTCTTACTAGCTCCATGCTAACTTTCCAAGTAGTCATTATTTTCTTCCTGTCTTTAAGGTGTCTTTTCATCTCATACCAACCGAGAGCAGATTGGCTTGCTGTTATATTTTTATCAGCCTATGGGGTAATGATGCTACTCTCAATATCAGCCTGTGGGTGATGATGCATTCTCAATACGCGTTATAAAAGAGCTTCTCTGGTTGGTACTCCTCATCCTACCCCTCCTGGAAGATTACTACCTTCCAGGATACCTTAGGACAGCCGGCAGTGATGACATCCTTGGGTAGCTTATAGTTATGTCACCAAGAAAGCTACTGGGAAATACTTTGCCAATCTTTCATGTCCCAAGACAGTGTACAAGTGTCTGTAAATCTGCCATGCCCCTTCAACTGCCGGCATGGGGCAGATGGCAAATCACAAGACTCCAGGAGCAATCCTGACTCTGCCTACATGCTGCCTTCAGAGACTTAGTCCAAAACAGACCTCATGGTTTGCATGCCAGGAGCCCCCTAGCTGGTGCCTGTGAGGAAGAATCCCTGGGAGTTTGTGTCCATACCTGCTGGGATGGTGGTGCCCCCGCCTTGGCTGGCTGTTGGTTGAGCTGTGTGCCGAAGGCAGCTGCCTGTTGGTAGGGAGGTGGCTGGGTGCTGCATATGGTCCTGCGGTGTGATGGGAGGCAGAACTGGCCTGGCAGCGGTGGCCGGGCTGCTCAGACTTCCACCTCCAGGGTGCATAATGGTGGCCATCCCCTTGGCCAATGGAGACCCTCCAAGCACATTATTCCAGGGTGACCCAGCCCCTCCTCCAGGGATCCTAGGGAAATAAGCAGAATCAAGCCAGTAAGTGGGCTCAGGTAAAATCAGGATATGTGCCATGGCAGAAACCAGCTCCAACCTACATACAGGCTCTGAGAGGTGACGGTCAAGAGGTCCATGGAAGTCCCCAAACATTACTTTAAGAGAATTAACTAAGACAAGACTCTAGAAAAAAAAATGCCCTACAGTCAAGCTGAGCATCAGCCTTTCTCGTGTTTGGTTTTTCCTAATCAAGAGCGATGAGTTTCTAAACACTACTAGAAAGAATGGCAGATTCTGTCATGCCCCACAAGATTGATAGTCCTGGAGCACAGTGGCCATGATGATGGTTTCTCCTTAATGCACCTCTATCTAGTTTCTTCCAGCCACCGAATAGGCAGCAGCACCATTTTCCTCTGAGACCGTCAGCTCTGCTGTGTCCCTCTCAGTCTCAAAGTACTGTGATGGCTTTGGGGCTGTACAGAGAGGCCAGGCATTCTGCTGTCCCATTGACACTGGTCCTGAGGTTTCTGCTGGGTGGTTTTGGCAGTTTTCTAATTCACAGTGAAGGTAGGAGATGGTGTCAGTCTTGGGCAGAGCTTGAGAAGGACAGCCCTCTGCTTCTATGAATAAGACCAAAGCCAGCCTTTCTATACTGTGGTGGATGGCATGCCCAGTTGAGAAGGTCAGGCCTCTGAGATACTGATTGTGGGGGCTCCTGGCAATTCCTTCTCTTGAGGGACCACAGAGGATACCAGTGACCTCCCAATTCTTCAGCCACCAGAGTTAGACCTGCCAGAGATGTCTGCTTTTTGGTCTCCTTGGCTTTGAGCTGTTTCTTAATAAAACAAAACAAAATGCCCGGTGGAAAACATATGTAATGTAATGTGCATGTGTATACATGTCATGCTCACATGGTAAGTGAGAAACTTGTGAGGTACACGGGCTGAAGTGGCCCGGGTCATCCAGAGAATTCCAGTTTCGTTCCAGTTCAGTCCTCCCATGGCAAAGTTCTGGAAGGATATGGACAATCCTAGTAACAGAATTAATCAGAACTACCAGGCTTCACTGATTTATTCAATTTGCATTTATTAACTGTAAGTGGCATGCAATGTGTCCAGTATACAAAAGCAGAAATGGCTGGTGTGTCACGGACCAGCAGGCTCTGCACACGTATTCATGACCCATAATGAGCAGCACTCATAGGCTTCACACAGGGACAGGAGATAAAGCTTTCCCTAGAAAGCAGACTCAAGACCCGGTTCCCCACAGAGATGTCAAGTTTCACTAGGAATCAGAAGAAGTGAGGAGACATTTGGTGTATGGGAGGGGAGACAGTCCAGCTTGTGAAGTCCCCTCCTGCACTGTCTGAGGACCCCAGGCAGGGGCTTTGCCTGGATTCAGTAGGAACACACCCACCACCACCACCACCACCACCACCACCAACAACAACAACAACAAACCCTGATCAAGTTACCGCATGCCAATCAAGAGCTCCCAAGAGGCTTGCTGGGAGCTAATGCCCTAAGCAGCCACCCATGTCCAGGTGCCATGATTTAGGGTGCAGCTGTTTCCCGAAGGCCTGGAAGCCTGCTCCTTCCTGCTGATGGCTGCCTGAGTGAAGCATCTGTCACCACACACCTTCCTTGTCTCTATGACCCCTTCCTCCAAGAGCTCAGGACAGCCCTTCTCCTCAGGCCTCAGAATCCTCCAGAAATCCCTGGCTGCAGAAAACCCATGCAAGCACGGCAACTCCAACAGTGTATGTGGCCTTGCAGACATGTCCTGAAGCCACGTGGGCAGGCATCAGTATGGTAACTGAGAAAGGCTCAGGTGCGATTTGACATTTTCTCCAGCGTCTTCTTCCAGAGACACTTAAGCCATGGATTTACATGTCTGCTAGTGCAGACACCGGCTGTTTTAATAGGCTGCTGTGAGTGACACGCCAACAGCCAAGAAGTGGACCTCACAGCACAATGAAAAATTCCAACAACCCCGGGCTCCCTCTTCAGCGAATTTTTTAAATTGCTTTTCTTATTTTATAAAAATTATATAATCAAGATTTGTAAAAATTCTAGAAAGTACAAGGAGGGATTTAAAAATTACCTATAGTTCTATCAGTCATTAAACAACTATTACTTTAAGGCATATATCACTTTTCTTTGTATGGTTGTGTGTACTTTATATATATACATATACATGCATGCTGTGCTCACACTGTAAATACATATGTGATGTACATACGCATGTGTATACATATTATGCTCACATGGGACAAATGCATACCTACATACAAGCTATGCCCACACTGCATACATACACATGTACCTTATATCTATACCATGCACATACATGCAGATATCTACACATACTCATATGCACATACTCTATACATATCAAACTCTACATTAGCGCATACATCAACTGAGGCTACATACATTTTAATGCTTATACAGACAACATAAGCATACCCTACCACTGCATTCACACGCCTGTCAGTGCTTATATGAGCATGCACACTTGATAACATCCTGCACACATTGCATATACATGCACACACACTGGCCTTGTTACATGCACATATCCTGAAGCTCTTGCCCTTTGCCGACCTTCCCATTCTCACTCAGTTGTCCTTACTCCTGCTGCCATGCCATCCCCTGGGTAGCCATGTTCACTGGGAAAGTCCAGTAAACCAAGCTTGGCAGAGGAAGCACTCCTCAGAGGGAGTGCATCTGTACTGAGTGTGGCCAGAGACCAGCCTACAGCGTGGCCTACTGACTTTGTACAGCATTAGGGGAGTATAGGCCTATTCTCTTCCTGACAGGTTGCTAGGCCCTCACCTGGAGACGGGCGTGACGTAGTTCCCGGGGAACACTCCTGAGACCCCAGTTTTGAGCGAGGCGCCCTTGAACCAGCCGTCCTGGCATTTCTCGAGCACACGGTACATCTCACCCTTGCGCAACTCTAGCTCATCATTCTTTTGGGGCTTGTATGCATAGAGAGCCAGATACCTGTGAACAGAGGACATGGTCAGGTCAGGGAACATCTTTGAGGGACTCGACGGATGATAGGAGACACAGGGCAGACAGATGAACCCTACCTACACAGTGGCTGATGTCACAGGGCACTGTAAGTCACACTGTTCACGAACCCTCTACCGGAGCCAAACCTACCACAGAGGAAGAAACAGGCAAGCTCCTAGTGTCTGTGGGTCTGTGGGGAACACAACACTACCCTGGCCCACTAAATAGCCAGGTGATATGTAGGTGGAGTGGGGGTTTTTACCTTATATCAGAGAAGGGAACAGGCTCAATGAGGCAGAGTGCCAGATCTGACACCTCACAGCAATATCCTGGGCCTGGTCTCTGGACGTCACTTTTTTTTCCTATTGTTTTTGCAGACTGGTATCTGAGATAGCTGAGTAAACTAGCTGGTCCTGGCTTTCCAGTCAGCCTGAGCTGGAAGAGAACCTGTGAGCTCCCTTCCAGAAAGGGTGGCTTCATTGGAACAGCATTTGCACTAATTATTTTATGTCTCCTTTTCTTGTAAGCCTTATTTGCAGATAAGAGTAAAGAGACTTCAGACCTTTTTTTGGCACATACTAAGGATGTGTGGATGTCTTCCTTGCAGTACTAGTGAGCATGGAACAACCTGGCAGAGGGGCTCCCGTCCTTCTGGAGCCTAGAAGACAGTTGGGCTTGACTGTTAGAGAAACCTGCACACCTTGCTTAAAAGATCCAGCCATGAAAACAGATGGGGGCCTCAGTTCTATAGAAGACAGATGAGTCAACTCAAGAATTGGGAACCAAGATGTGAGCTCAGGGGCACTACTGATCCTGCCCTGGTGCTGCCAGATCCCCAGAATTCCCTCAGCACCCTCCTGACTCTGGGAAGGGCCTTCACCAAAAACGAAAACAGAAACAGAACCATTCACTGGAATTCATGAAAGGACAAGGGAGGCCTTGAGGTGGGGCAGGGGGTCTAGAACAAAATGAGAGTCCTGTGGAGACCAAAGATTTCCCCACCTTCCAATCACATCTTTCCTCCCTCTGCAACCTGCTGACCTGCAGGTCCCCTGGTTCCAATCAGTGTCCTCTGTTTACATGCCTCTACCATGAGGATGAAACATTCTTTGTTTCACTGTGTGAGAAGCCAAACATCAACGTCCGGGAGCACCCTGGGCGGCTGATGGCAAGCCAACAGGAGAGGACTCAGGGGTATGTAGGCAGAAGAGAAATCCAGGGTGTGGCCCTTGTCTTTAATGGCCAGATGGGGGATGCTACTAACAGGCAAGACACATGCTAACTGCATTTACACACTGTGCTGTCTAGTTTTATGTCAACTTCAAACAAACTAGAGTTAGCTGAGAGGGAGTCCTCCATGATCCGGCAGTAGGGCATATTTAAAATTAATAATTGATGGAGGAGGGCTCAGCCCATGGTGGGTGGTGCCATCCCTGGGCAGGTCATCCTGGGTTCTATAAGAAAGCAGATGGAGCAAGCAATGGGAAGCAAGCCAGCGAGCAGCGCGCCTCCGTGGCCGTGTTCCTGCCTTCACTTGCTGTTGATGATGAACTGTGAGTTTAATAAGCCCTTTCCTCCCCAACCTGCTTTTGGTCATGGTGTTTTATCACAGGAATAATAACCCTCACTAAGACACACATCAAGACTCAGATGTGCTGTACGTACATCATGGAGGAGGGGATAATTTCCTCATAACAGCTGCTGAGGGGGTAAACAGGAGAAGAATGGATAGGATGGAGAACCATGTGAAACTGACATGATGTGAACCTGCTGTCAAGGAAACATGAAGTGCAAATCCCGGTTAAGCTGTCCTCCTTCGTGCCCTTTGTGATGTCAGACCAGTTTCTGACTTTGGCCCCAGTGGAATGCTAAGAAGAATGATTGACGGCTCCTCTAAGCTGTGTGGGTCTCTAGGCAGCTCAAACCCCACCAGGTATATATAAGCCCTTGGCAGTAACAGGGAAGTGGCTCAGTGGCTCACCAACTGCCTGTGGGGGGCAGGGTCTAGGCTACTCTTCCCTATTAAAAAAGCCTTGATGAGCCATTTCTGTTCCTCTCGTGGCTAGTGCTGTGCAGTTTGGTGGGTACAGAAGTAGACTGGGGCCCTATAATCTGTTCTTTGCCAGAGAACAGCGTCTGCAGCCTGGTCCAGGGCTGCAGACAGGCCAAATAACTGGTTGCAGTTGTCTGCAGGGACACCTGCATAGAGCATCGGCTCCTGGGACCCTGTGCTGTGTGCACACAGGTGGCATCAGGTCACTGGGCATGAAACATCTCTGAGAAAGCATATGGCAACTCCCCTAGGCACTGCTGACAGGCCTCTCAGCAGATTCTGCCTGAGTGTCAGGAAATGCTTTTCCATGTGGGTCACTCCATACACAGGGCTCTCAGACTGGGCAACTGCCTGAGGAAGGCTCTTGAGGTTCCATTTTTTTCTCTTCCTCACTTTTCTCTTGGCCTTCTTGTCTAATTCCTATACTGTCAGGGAATTTGAGCAGCTGTGCTCTCTTGGCATAGAGAACTCTCCCAGCAGGATGCAGCTGCTGCTGGCAGTAGGTCATGATCACCTCATGAGGGGGCTGAGTGCAAGTGCGGGAACCTACACTCAGAGGGGCCTGGAGGAAGGGGGGAGAAAACCTTGCTGGGGAGGGGCAGTGGTCCTGGGGTTCAGTGAAAACATCACATGGGCTCTGGCCTCGGGATGATTTTACCACGGTCTATCTGTAGCTTCTATCCCTTACCCACCACATCCTGTGTTCCAATAAGACAGTCTTAACTGATGGTGCAGCAGCTTCTCCTCAGTACCAGGCATTCGATACATCCTAAGCAAATACTTGTTAAAGTAAAACAGGAGTCCTGGTTTGGAGTCTATGACTGAGATTCCCTTGCACAGTGTGCTCTAAGTGTGGTGAGCCTGTGCATATGTGAGGGTGCAGAGCTATGAAGAAGGAAGACCAGTGCCACGCCATACAGCTGCCTTGCTCTTTCCTGCATCAGGAGGAAGCTATCTGTAGTCACTTAGCTGCTGAGTAAGCTGCTCAAAGGGGACAAGAATGCAGCAGCCTTGTGGCTGTTTGAATCTGAGCGCAGTGAATGTGACTCAGATAGCATTTCTTATCAGATCTGGGAAGTCACTCTTCTGCTTTGCAAAGTGTGAGCCACTGTGTAAATGCCCAGCAACCTCTGATAGGTCTGGTAGTCATTCTCCGGGTATTAGAGGAACAGCTGTGGAATAGCTGAATGCCATTTCCTTTTGGGGATTATCTTTAACTCAGTATTTTAGGATCCCTCGATGATTTAATGAGACAAGGACTCTGCACATATGTTTCAGAATAAAAAGAAAGTTTTCATCTTTTCCTACAAACACTGGAAATGAGGATTGTTTATCAGTGCCTGGGAGTCATTTTAAGACTTTTAAAATTTGAAAAGGGCTCTTTCAATATTCCATGTTTACATAAAACACAGGTGTGGTTCCTAATGAGGTAATAAGGTAGGAAAATGGAAAACCAAAAATGAACATGGCTGTACATCTGCTGTCCTGTTTGCTTACCTGGCACCGAGCCTGCCAGCACCACCACGAAACAGAGCCCCAGCTTAATGCCTGCTCCTTCACTTTCTTCAGTACAGAAGCTGCCCAGAGAGGCATCATTGAAGTTTTCAGAAATATAGATCTTTATTTCATGCTGTATTAGGCCTCAGTACATAGGGCACCTCCCTTCTTTAGAGGGGGAGGCCTGAGGAAACGTGTGTATTGCATGCCCGTGACGGGGACAGTGCTGAGGTGCTGATGTCCACCAGGGAGAGGTGCACTTTCCTGGCACGACTGACCCGAGGACCCTCATGCCTCCCCTCTCAGACCATAGCCACCAGCTGTTACTTTCTTTGAAACTTTTTAATCTGGTGTCAGCCCTGCAGAAATATGGCCTCACTACGGGGCCCACTACTATGGCCTTCTAGGGTAAGGGAAGAGGGCACAAACCCGATGGCTGCTGTGTGCTAGACACATGGACTCACATAAGCTCCATGTGGGCCCTAAGGTTTCACAGCTGGGAAGACTGAGGCTGGAAAAGTCTGAGAATCTGCTACTGTTCTTGCGTGTTCAGGGTCAAGGACAGGTCTGTGACTTAGAAGAGTAGCATGGCCCAAGGATGGGGCCAGATACTGAGTGTCTGAGTGGGTGAGCCAGTAGAGCATGGGATAGGCCTAGCTCTGGATTCAGGGATGCTGCTTGCCAGCTCTGAGTACAAGCCCTCAAGGTTCACTGCATAGGGGAGTGCCATTTAGATTACAGCAGGGCACTGACATGATTGGCCTTTTAATCTTTTATAAGATTTGTTTTTAAGTGGCTTTTAAGTGTGTGTGTGTGTGTGTGTGTGTGTGTGTGTGTGTGTGTGTATGTACATGAACTGTGTTGGCAGAAACTAGAGGTTGGAGTCTCCTGGTACTGGAGTTCCAGGCAGTTATGAACCACCTACTATGGGTGCTGAGAGACAAGCTTTGCTGCTCTGCAATAACAGTTCCTACTTAGCCTCTGAGACATCTCTCCAGCCCCTTGACCTTTCCATCTTTCTTTTAAATTTGCTTTGCCTGTGAGACTCTCCATAGAATTCCAGTCTTCCACATTTGGCACTGCTGGGTGAACAAAACTTCACCAAAAAAATCATTGTAAAAAAAAAAATCTTTCTTCTTTCCTCTCGATCCTCTCTGGGTGCCTCAGAGGGGTGACAAGAGCAGATAGCTGTGCTGGTGGCTTCCTGTGTGTGGTGCTTGTGTATCTGGCACGCACTTGTGCAGTGGCATGCTGGCTGGAGGGTGATGTGTTACCATGCTTCTGGTTTCCTTTATGAATCAGAAAGCATCCACGGAACACACGAAAAACGATGTGTACACAGAGAATGGCTCTAGCAATCTCCGCTAGACTGGACCAGCCATAGGGAGTCTAAACAGTCCATTTTCTGCACTGCTCACTTCCTGGTCCCTAGCGACAGCCACAGCAGTGTCACCTTTCCACCTGCTCCGCTCGGCTCCCTGCCTCCCTCCCATCCACCATCTATTGGTGGATGGCCCTCAGGATGCACTCGTGCACAGTCTGGCATGGGACTAGGGATACAAGTATACTTGTGAAAGCACAGTCCTTACCCTCCTGGCTCTCACTGGTCACCTGCTTCAGAAGGCTTTGGAAGCTTGGCATAAGCCTTCATAGCATGCTCAAGACAGTCTCCACCACATCCAGATCAGCTGGGCCACCCCTGCTCAAGAGATCACCTCTACAAATGCACACAAGCTGACACCAAAAAGACAACTGCAGACTGGCACACTACTAGCCTGTATGTGGCTTTTGTGCCAGTTAGAAAAGGTGCCTTGTGAGTAGGGGGCCAAGGAAAAGTCACTCATGGCATGAAGCTGGGCCTACAGTTAGAGGCAGAATGTCAGCTGACTTCTTCCTTGGTGTCCCAAGGCAAGCTCAGACTGGACAGGCTGGCAGCTGTGATGACTAGGTGTGGTACTATGTGCTCAAGTGAAACTCGCTGGCACACATTCTGCTAACCCACTATGTGTATCTTCAGCAAGCTCTCTGCTTGCTGCCGTCTACCGATTTCCTTCCCACTGTGATCATGAATCAGACTCTTCCAGCGCCTCTACTCATTTCACATCCTTTCTCCTGCAGATAGAGGCTTGCTCACATTTCTCCATTATGGAGTGAAAGGTCTATTCCCACTGCTCCTTCAAGGGGTCCTATTGCTCCTTCAAGGGGCCCTGCTTCTGCTCTTTGCCTGTTAGTGCACCCACCTAACAACTACTATGTTCAAAGGACGGAGACCAGGAGGACGAGAAGTGTGGACAGTAGACAAAACCTATCTAGGTGCTCCCTCTCCATGAGGTGAGGCAGCAAGGACGCTGAGTGAGAGCCTGCAGAGGGAGGCTAAGTCTGCTGGAAGGGCTGGGCAGGCTCTGGCACTGAGCCGTGGAGAGATGGCTGGCCTCACACACACAGCTGCTGTGCACTCAGCTGCGGGCAGATGTTAGCCTGGTTAGCTAAAATAAAGCTGCAGGCAGGGAGGAGCCAGTGTAGTTCCCACTATTGCCAAAGCATACCTGGAAACTGGCCCCTAAGATACTTCTGGGGAACAATACCCAGAGGCCCACATTACTGTAGAGCAGTGGTTCTCAGCCTTCCCAATGTCGTGACCCTTTAATACAATTCCTAATGTTGTGATGACCCCCAACCATAAAATTATTTTCACTGCTACTTTATAACTGTAATTTTACTACTATAATGAATTATAACGTAAACATGATTATGTTTATGTAAATGTGTTTTCTGGAAGCCCTGGAAAAGAGGCTTTTGTGGCCTACATTTGAGAACCACTGACCCAGCCGTGGCTAACTAATATTAGTAGGTCCTGTTGTTATGATGGCACCCCACTTCAGGGGCAGAGCTGTCTGTCTGATGAGTCTGTGATAGATGATGCCTCTTCCTGGTGAGTTGGACATGGTTTCATCAGAATTCACAGTATCCCAGAACACGGGCTCAGTAATTAGTGGCCTTTGGCCATCAGAACATATGGTGCTGGGTCATGAAGAGTGTTAGCCTACAAATGGCTCTCACTTGCCATGCAAAACACATCTCACATGACCAATATTAACATCTGATTCACAGACCCAATATCCACCCAGAACTACCGGCCTCTGTTCCCTTGAACTTCCTTTTCCTGGCCTAAGTGACAATCTCTCTTCTTCCTGGCATTTTTTGGATTCCTTGAGGTGGTATCCAGGAAGCCACCTACAGATTTGGCTTTGCTGATAACTGGTGATTATACCACACTGACTGGCCAAGTCTTTTCTTCCATATTGATAGTACTTTCCCAGGATAGTCCAGGGCCAGGACTGTCCTCAGCATGGGCTGGAAGCTGGTGCTTGAAGAAGTAGCTACCTTGTATCCAGGTGAATCATCTAAGACTGGTTTATGAATTAAGGCTTCTGCTGTGCTGCCCTCTCCAGCCCATGGTCTGCTCAACTGAGCTGCCTTACACAGGGCTGCTGATGGGGTGTGTCAGTGGTTCTGCTGTCTTCCTCCCAGGCTCCAGCAGGTCAGTGCTCAGGCCACACACTCATCCCTATGCTCTTTCTGCTTCCTTGGTCCCTCACATCTGGCTTGAAGATATCCATAGAGAAATGGAGGGAAGATTCTACTTCTCTTGCATTTAGGGGTACCTCATTCTCATATGTTCTCATCCACTTTTAGACCCTTAAAAGGGTTTGGCTTTGACCTGGGGCATGGGCTCCAGGACCTGGACATTCATGTGCTCCTGGAATCATGGCTAGCAGACTGGCCAAATGAAAGTTCAAGAGTTAGAATTACAGAACAGCAGGAGAGAAATGCGACGTTGCAGGTATGGGCCTACCTCTTCAGGTACCTTTACACACTGTGTGCAAACTGAGAGCCTTCTTGTGTGCCAGGTTCTGAGGAACCTTATGTGCAGCTTTTCTCTAAGGACAGCAACCTGTCACCAACCAACAGGCCGACTTACAAAGTCAAGGCTTTGTCATCAGCATGGCTTGGATTTTTAAGACACACAAGGAGTATGGATGAGAGTCTATTGTGAAATATTGTCTTCTAGGCATAACAAGGCCATTGCTGTCTTAATCATAGCAGCTAGTACCCGCAGGAGAAACCTTTGTAAAACAGTCTGCTGGCCTCCCCTTAAAGGAGGAGGTGGTAAGGTTATTAGACCTTTCCTAAGGTCTAGCTTCCCTCCCTCCAGTGCCCCTTAGCTGTATGTAATTCTGCATCTCGGACATGTGGGCTGAGGAGGTGCTGGAGTCTATAGAGATAGAAAGTTAGCTGAAAGAGAGGCCCACTCAAACAGCTTTGGGGAGGTCATCATTCTTGCTGGGATAAAATGTTTTTGGTGGTGCAGTTCTTTGTGGGGAGCAATCACACCCCTCTCCCCTCACCCTCACTCATACTCATATAAGTCCAATAAGCTATTTATTCACTAACCCAGATTTGGGTGAGATTGTTCCTTTGGTTTGTTGGCTCCCCTTTCTAGAGTAAATGGATACTTACTCATGTCTCCCTAGGAAAAGAGAATGCAACAGGGTCTTTTGGAGCTATCTCATCACTAACCCACACACTAACTTTTCTGGGCCTTTGCCTGGAGTGCCACACTTGGTGAACTGCTCCTGCAGCTGTTTCAGAAACTATAAATTCCCACGTTCAAATTTAGACTTAGAGCCACCATACAGGGAGCGCGGTCAGTTGAGGAGCTGTACCAGAAAATATAGATTGGCTGTCAGGCTACGCAACCTGCTTGATAAACCCATCTTCTGTCAATAACGTAAAAAAACATAATTTCAACCATCAGGTTTCCAGATTGAACCATGTAT